CTATCCGCAGTCTGATGCGTTGAGTTCCCCGGCATCATAGGCTGAGTCCTCTAAAGCCGAGCCACTCGATCGACCGACCGCGCAGGGGCGGGCCCCAAGTCGGGCCTTCGCGGCGACCGAACTCGCAGCGATGTCGCGCTGCACTGCGGATCGAATCCACGGCGCAGACGGCGCCGCCCCCTCCTTGCTCGGCCAGGCTGGACGCCTCCCGGATTAGAATCAAGAGTTTGACCACCTACCAGACCACCCCAACCCAACCCGAAGACCCGAATTTCTGGTTGGGGGGGGCAAGGGTTCCACATGTGTTTTTTCGATGTTTCCCGACCCCCCCCCCACTGGAGACCGAGGGTAAATCTGAGCCTTCGGGTTGGGTTGGGGTGGTTTAGTGAGCGGTGAGAGTTCACGCGCCTCACTCTGTTTGGCAAGGCCCCCTTCTAGCTTCTCCACGTTCGCCTGCATCTTCCTTGCCTGGTCCGTGGCGGCGCGCACTCGAAGTTTAGCCAATTGGACAACTGCTGGCGCTTCTTCATTTGCAGAGTGGAGCAGAGCAGCCGCCGGCGCTCCTTTCTCGCGCATCGCCCCCTCCGCCGATCGATGAAAACTGCTCGCCTCGATTCCCGACTTCTGCAAGCGTTGATGGACATACTTTTCCGTTGCTGCCAATTCCTCCGCAACACGATTTCCGTCGATGTCACCTGTCGGTCCGCTGATTATCCCAACCCTTTCGTTTGCCCTTCGGCTCGAGTCAGAGACGGCTGAACAACTTCCGATGCAGCCGGATGGCCTTGATGGGCTCGGTGCGCAGCCTGAAGCAGGGTCTCCTGTTCTCTATTGATTATCCAAAGACGTTCGTCCTTCTGCGTTTGAATCGCGAAAACTTGCGCAGCCAGTTCTTCGTCAAGCTTCTTTACATTGGCCATGATGGTATCTGCCTCTTTACGTTACTATCCCAGGAAGGAGAGACAAGTGCAACTGCGCCCTTTTCGTGTCGATGCATTCCAAGGAAATGCTGACATACGCGCGAGCAGCTCACACACACACACACACAGGTCGGAGGCAACAACCGTTGATGCGATTCGCTTTCCCGGGGCATCAATTTTCGGCCGTCGGATGGCATCGGGGCCATCGGGCCCAACATCCTACTCACGTGGAGGAACACCCGGAAGAAGAACCATGATATCCCTGGCGGCTCCTCGACCTAGTTCGCAATCTGGATGCTAAATGTGCTAGAAAAGACCATTCTGTTCATCTTACGTGGAGGCAGCACTGGGATGGGGTCGACCCTGGAACTTCTCGTATAGCTGGACAGCTCTGATCGCCACGCGGACTTCCAGCTAAGTTGGAAACCTGCATGGCGAGCCATGCTCCATACAAATGTCGTCAAGTATTTTCGGGCGCCTCGCTTCTGGCGTCTCCCCCGTGCTAACTCTCGCGTGGTCCGCCTGAGATGCGGTCGGTCTGCTTACCCCGGACGCGTGAATTCTCAGAATACGAATCATCGTTCTCCTCGGTAATTGAGACCTCACGATCAATATTGTCCCCGTCGCCCATTGGCCCATACAAGGCTGAGGTGCTGTCTTCCGCCGGGACAGAAAAGTCACCAAGCAGAAAAATGACGGTAGCGCTGGACAGGAATATGACCCATTGCGTGATTGTTCGTGCAGTCCCTGAGGGAACCAGCAACATCAAAACATTACCTGTGATCATTTGAAATATCAAATGCGACACTAAAGCTTTCGGCAGATTACCAATCATTCGCCAGGAGGAACGCTGTGTTTCGCAAGCGTGGGGGGTGATGGGGCAACTCATACATTGGTATCATGTTCCCATAGTTCGTTAAGCTGTGGGTTTGTGTACACACGAGAAATGGGGAAGAGAGGAGGACGGACGACAACGACACCGACAACAGTCCGAAACCTTTTCAACTCTCGCGCCGATGGGCCCGAGGTGCCCGTATTCAGCGATTCTTGCACGTGTACCTAGATAGCTGCGGCGGGCGGCGGCATGGAGCGAGCAGGCAGAGAAAAGTAACAACTGTGTTATCAAGAAGGCCCAAGACGGCAGCCCAACGAGGCTCCCGAGAAGCTCCAGTCCTGTGGACGCCCCAGTGGTCATTGCAAAACCTGCCGCTCCACATGCTTCCCTCTTTTGAACCGTCTTCTTCCTCCTGCTTATCATCATGACTGTTGCAGACGGCGGTCTCTTCAATAGGGACCGAGCTGTCGCATAGTAAGGCCCATGGTTTTCGGAAGGAGTGGCATGCAAAGTGCTGCTGGCGCCCTGGTGGAACTTCCCGCAAGCACTTCGGGATCGGATCAGATTTCATCGTGCAAGAAAGCCGTGCGCGCCAGTCTTCCATTTTGACGATGCATCGGTTGTATATGGGCGATACATCGTTGATTTCAACTGAACGTGTCCCTCCAGTGCTTTCCCCCCTCTCGTCGCACTGAAAAAGCTGGGCCAGGCTGCTCGCAAGGACGAACATGATGCCCGCCAAGATCGCATGGCTGGCCGCCAGGTCGTCAATCGCAAAGCTCCGACTGTTCTGGCGCCGAGCCGCCACGACGTCCTCAGGGGCGACCTTCGAGCACAATGCGAAAGAGTCAGGCGTCCCGACGCCTCCTTGCCGACCCCCGACATTTAGGCTCGAAAGACTTCAGTGTGCAAACTCTTCTGAATCGACATTGATTAGTTCAGGTTAGGCAGTTCCCATCACCATCACCACCACCATCATCAGCATCACAATGCTCATCACTACTACCATCACCATCACTCAGTCAAGGTCATCACCATCACCACCATCACCATCAACAAATCATCATCCCCTCCTCCTTCAAGAACAGCCGGAGGGCTGGGGCACCAGGCTCTTGCAGTGGGGGCACCAGCTGACGAAGAACTCCACGAACCAAGTCCCGCTGAGCAGGCGCCCTGGAGGGAGCCAGGAGTGGGCACCGATCGGCTCTCGGATCGGACCGTCGCTGCAGCTCTGTCGAACCGGTCGCCTGAACTCGAGCGCAGCTTAATACGATAGGCGATAACGGCTGTACCAGGGATGCTCCCCCCTTCCTGATGACGACACAGTTCGCGCCGGCACCGTTTGGGAACTGCGAGGGGCAGCTAATTCCCAGACGGCGCCGGCGCGAATCGTGACGTTACCAACCCCCTCGCCGCCCCCCCCCCCAACCCCCCAGCAACGGCCCGTTCTCGCCGCGGGACAAAATGGGGCACCATGCCCCTCGCGTTTTGGACCCCGAGGCGCGATCCCATCGAGGACTGCGCGGTCCCCGGGAGGCGCCCCGCGCCGGGGCGCCCCCCATCCGTGGCGCTGCGGCCGAGGAGCCTGGACCGCGAGGCCCTCAAGCCGTTGCGTCTGCCGCCCACGAGGCTCATACTCGCCAGGCCGAGCTCCGCCCGTGGAGGGGCGAGCCGCCCTCGAGGGCGCGCCGTGGAGCCGACCGCTGCCACGCCCGGAGGCCTCCCCGATGGGTTCCGAGCGGATGGGGCGGGAGGATCGCGCCGCACCGGAGATGCCTCGGCGATGCGGCGCGATCCTCCGACCCCATCTGCTCGCACTCTGGGAGGCCTGGAGTGAAGCGGGCCGATGCCGCGCCATCGAATCGGCCAAAGCGCGCAAAGCCCTGCGAGAGCACCATCGAATCTGGGGAGACCAAAACGTACAGATACCGCCACTCCCAGGACCTCTCCCGGGATGCGTTTTGACCAGAATTCCGAGGCGAATCCAGCGGTGGCGACGAGGACCGCCCAGGAGGCCCAAAAGGGGAAAACGGAGGGAGGGGTAGAGGTATGGGTACCTGTTCCCCCTCCGAATCGAATCGTGCCGGACCGAAGGCGTGAGGCGCTCATGCTGGAGGAGGCCACGAGACGGACAGCGAGCAGAGTCGACGGACTGCGCCGCCGCAGCGAGCCCAGCCAAAGCTGGAGCCTCCCAGGGAGACCGCAGAGAGCCGCGGCAGAGCCCCAGCAGCAGCACGCAAGGCAAGCTCGTGTCGTGTCGACCCCAGCGGAGGTTCGTGACACCGCGGAAATCGTTCAACCTCGAGTAGAGGCCTCCCAGATGGGGTCCGAGTGGGTGGGGTCGGAGGATCTCGCCGCATCGCCGATACATCGGCGATGCATCGGCGATGCATCGGCCATGCACTGGCGACGTCGGCGATGCATCGGAGACGTCAGCGTGGGGAAAACCGGTACCACATCGAGCCGCATCGCCGATGCATCGCGGATGCATCGGCGATGCGGCGCGATCCTCCGACCCCATCTACTCCGACCCCATCTAGGAGGCCTAGATTGAACGATCGGCCGTTTGCGAAACGCCAAATCGTTCCAAATGGACCGATTCTGGGCAGCTGGCGGCGTTCTATGTTGAACGCCAGCGACGGGGTCACCGCCAGTCGACACGACGCGAAGCTACCGTGCGTGAGCGGGGGCAAGGTCAGCAGCGGGAGGTGGGAGCAGGGCAGGGAACAGAGCCGGGTCAGATGCTCGCTCTGAGGGCCTTCCTGGAGCCACTCGCTCCACCCCTGAATCGACGCTGCGTCGAACATCCGTCGACCTGAGTCGAGCTTGAGCCGAACAAGTCGTCGAGCAGACCCCCGAACGAACAAAAACTGAGGAGCAAGGATGACGAGAGGAGGGGAGAGGGAGGAGGGCGCGGGGAGCAGGAGGGGTGAGGGTGCAGGGGAACGGCATGAACATAAACCGTCGACGGTCCGCGCGGAACTCTTGAACCTGCGCCGGACCCCCCTCCCTGGCGCGCGGAACGCGCCAGGGGCGGCGCCGGAGGCGCTGCCAGGGGGGAGGGTCTTCTTCGAGTGGTGGCAGGAGGCAAGAGGCGGGAGCAGGACTGGGATCGGGAGTACGAAGGGAGGGGCTCGGGGGAAAGCGAGGATGAGGACGAGGAGGAGGAGGAGGAGGAGGAGGAGGAGGAGGGGTGCAGAGGCGGAGGCGGAGCGTGTCGCAGCGCGTCGATCCTTTTCCTGCGGGGCCAAGAGGGAACCGCGCCCTCGCGAGCGGAGGCAGACTGTACATCATCAGTTCGCGGGAGGAGAGCTAGACCAGCCGAGCGTGCTGGACAGTGGGGTGCGGTGGCAATTCATGGGAACCTCCCATACCATCTTGTCGGCTCTTGCGAATCAACGCTAATCGACGCTAGTCGAAGCTAATCGAAGCTAAATCGACGCTAAATCGCCGCTAAATCGGCACACCAAGTCGACTCCCAGACGCTAATCGACGCTCAAGGCGGAATTAAAAAGGTATGCCAGGTTCCCATGATTTGCTACCGAAGTGGGTGGACCCGCCGTGACAGGGTGGAGCAGGGATCGACCTAAACACTACTTTTTCGTTTCCGTGTTGGCTTCGTTTTACTTCGCTTCGCCTGGGGAAACAAAAAGTGGCATAAACAGAAAAACTCGGGGGTCCGCGCGGATTTCTCGGATCGGCGCTGGACCCCCCTCCCTGGCGCGCGGAGTGCGCCAATGGCGGCGCCGGAGGCGCCGCCAGGGGGGTCCAGCGCCGATCCGAAAAATCCGCGCGGACCCCAGAATTGTTATGTTTATGTCATTGTTCGTTCCCCTGTCGTCGTCGCTCCGCTCCCGCTGCAGAGCGGCATCGAACAGAAGACGGCCCACGAGGTCGCCAAAGCACCTGGGCGCCCGAATCATCCGGGGTAATTTGGGCCCAGGGTAACTCGGGCTCGGATTCCCGAAAAACGAACCCGAGTCAGCCCTGACCCGAATTGCCCCTGATGATTCGGGGCTCTGAAGCACCGCTCCAGGTCGGACAGCCCTGGCGTTAGGTCGGGCGTGTCCCCCTACAGGCCGATCTTCGACGAAAACTTTGAAAAAAAACAATGCAAAAAAAACATGTGTATATATATATATACTATATATATATACAAGACTGCAGTGGCGCTTCGCGCCATGCACCTTGGCCCTTGAAGTTTGGTATGCAGGCGGAATAGCAGGAAGGTCAAGCCGACAATTTAGCGATAACTCCTGGTTGCCTTTTCTAGCATCGCCGCTATAATAATGTTATTCGTTATCCTTCCTCCATGCTTCTTTTTCCTTATTGTCGCCATACCCTGCTCATTCTCCCCATCCTCCTCAGCTCTTTTTTGCGGAGGCTCCTCCTTGGAGAGCCTCTAGGGGCCTCACGAAAGTTGTTTCGGGCTTTCTGAAGGCCTTCTGGAGACCTCCTGGGCGTATTCTGGGGGCCTCCGGGGGCTTCCTCGGGCCACCCTGCCTCCAACCGCGGTCTCCCTGAACGACCGGATCACGATTTGGAATTCTTCGGAGGGTGTCGTTGGGCCATCTTGGGCCGCCATGGGGCTCTCTGAGGGCCATCTTGGACCCGTGTTGTGCCGTTTTGGGGCTCTCTTGGACTGCCTGGAAACCCTTTCGGATGGTTGTGGGGCGATTTTGGAGCCTCCCAGGCGGCTTCGGACGCCCAGAAGACCGCCGTCTTGGAGCGTCGGGAAGCCGAAAAGAGGAGAACCCTAAAATTCACCAAAAACCAACATAAAATCAATGATTTTTGCCTCGGGGGGCCTTCTTGGGAGTGCTCTTGGAGGCCTCTTTGGGGCTGTCCTGGAGGCCTCTTGGGCCATCTTGAGGTCACGTCGGTCACTCTTGGAGCGCTCTTGTGCTGTCTTGGGGGTCTCTGGGACGTCTCCGATGACCCCCCTGATCGACCTAGGTGTGCTGGGAAGGCTTGGCAAAACGCCATGTGAGGCCCGGTGACCGCTTCGAGGCCCGTCTGGAGGGTCTCAAAGCCCCAGATCTCGGGAGACCGGTTTTGGGGGGGGGGGGGGTGACGGGTTTTCCCCCCGCCCGGGCTTATAAAAATATAGGAAGAGGAATAAAGGAACAAAAATCAGCCCCGTATTTTTGTTGAACTACTTCTGAATATTCCCCCTGTAGAGGGACAGGGCGCGTCCTCGGCGAGCGGCGAGGGCGCGGCCCGCCGGGGGCGCTCGACGGCGGAGGGGGGCTCGCCGCGGCAGGGCGGACGGCCACGCCCTCCAGGCCGCACCGAGGCCCGGCGGCGCGTAGGCGCGGCAGACGCCCCCCCCCCGAAGTCGAATCGACGAGTCGGATCGGCGATCGAAACGAATCGCATCGGCGGAAGTCGGCAGCCGAATCGGGAGAAGAGTGGAATCGGCGGAGATCGGCAGGCTGGTGTGCAACGAGGAGTCGGAGCCCAGATCGGAATCCCAAGGCGGCTTGAATGGGAATCGCAGGCAATCCAAGTCGAATCGAATCGAATCGGAGGAATCGAGACGAGCCCTGGACCAAGGGGGGGCGGGGCGACGCGGGGGCGAGGCCTGCCGAGGGGGCGGGAGGCCTCGTCGAGAATCCGCCCCCCCGCAGCGGAGGCTTCAGGCGCAGGCCTCCGCTGCAGGGGAGGGTGCTGCGGCTGGAGGGACTTCGGGAGCCTGCAGCAGCCACCTGTGAACCATTGGGCGCCCGAATTATCCGGGGTAACTCGGGTCCGGGATGATTCGGGTTTGGATTCCCGAAAAACCAACCTGGGTTAGCCCTGACCCGAGATACCCCTGATGATTTGGGGCTCTGGACGCCCGACTTGTCCGGGGTAAGTCGGGTCCGGGGTAAGTCGGGCTCGGACTTCCGAAAAACGAACCCGAGTTAGCCCTGACCCGAGTTATCCCGTATGATTCGGGGCTCTGAAGCCATGCCCTGCAGGTCAGATTTCCGAAGAACGGGCTGGGGCTCAGAACTTACAAGGGCGTCCGCACCCAAGCGAAGTCAACCCCAGCGGGGGTGTCCGATGCCCCAGCGCGAGTTGAACCCGCCGTGGCAGCGTTGGCAAGCGGCTACAGATCGATGGCAGCCCCGCTCTCCCTGCCCGCCCCCACTCTGCCCGCCGCCCATTGGGGGGCGCGCAAACACGGATCAGCGATCCATGGATTCGGCGCGCGGTCGCCAACTCCATGGATCGGGAGAGGGGCCCTCCCCAGAATGCGGCCAGTGCCGCCTCGCCCGGCGGCGGAGATCTGCAACTTCCCATGGAGACGGGGCCCGTCGCCCATCCACGCCCCCTTGATCCATGTCTTTGAAGGGAAACTGGGACACACAAATAAATACACACAAATAAAAAGATTCCCCATATTTTCCTATATGTTCTGGGTTGTTGTCTTCCCCCCCACTTCCCATATTTCCCCATATTTTCTGGGGAATCGAGGATGATTTGTGTCTGTGTGTTTTTTCCTCTCCTGAACCAGTTCGGAGGGCAAGCGTCGCCCCGGAGTCGCCGAGGAGTCGCCGAGGCGGCGGCGCCGGGGGGGGCCCGCGAGCCCCTTTCGCCCGCTCCCGGGCGGGGTGGGCCCCGAGGCGCCCATTTCGGCGGCCACCCAGGGGCGAGTCGGGGCCGATCCGCTCCCCCTCTGAGCCCCCACCCCCCCCAGCGCTGCCCCCTGGGCTCCTCCTCCTCCTCCTCCTCCTCCTCCTCCTCCTCCTCCTCCTCCTCCTCCTCCTCCTCCTCCTCCTCCTGGTTGTGGGTGACCCGAAAGGGGGTCCAGCTGAGAGGGGGTGGTGCAATAGAGTTGGGGCGACTGTATTGCAAATGTATTGCGCTGGAGATTCGTATTGCCTTGTATTGCAAGTAATGTACTGCACGCAAAGATCCAGCAGTACATCTGCGCAGCGGAACGCATTGCACGCCCCAAATGTACTGCAACTCCACAGATCTATTGCACAAAATCTATTGCACCACCCCCTCGTAGCTGGAACCCTTTACCCTGACGTCATGTTTTTTCATGGCGTCGGCCCCTGGAGGTCTCGACCAATTCCACTGGACCGGTGTTTCATCCCGAATCGCTTTTGGACGCTCTCGAGGGCCGGTAAGGGCCCCCAAAGGCCGAAAATAGCAGAAAACCATTCGTCATGATTGCCTCATTACACGGAGGGGTCTGGGTATGGAGAGCCTCGAGGCTGCGGGGCTCGGCCTCACCCGGCTCCGGCAGCCCTCCGGAGGTCACTCAGCAGCCCGCCCGCCAGCAGCTCCTCCAGCCACGCCTCCCTGCAGCTGGCGGCACCCGGCCGGCCGTGCAGCTGCTGCCGCAGCTGCAGCAGCAGCGCGCGCCCGAACTCCTCGGCGCCCTCCGCGCGCTGGGCGCAGACGGCCCCCACGGCGTGCACCAGCGGCACGTACCGGTCCTCGCCCGCGGCCTCCGGCCACGACATCGGCGCCAGGTGCCTGGCGGTGGCAACTCGCGGGGGCCTTCCCATTGCCATCTGGTTGGCTCTTGCGAGTCGGCGCCCATCGACGCTCCGCGGCGCTGAGTCGACGCGCATCGACGCCGAATCGACGCTACTTCCTCGAGCACCAAACGCTAGTCGACACAAATGCACTCTAAAGACGGAATTCCGAGGGTATGCAATGATCGAGCCACTCAGGTCATGGTAATGATAGGGCCTGGGATTTAGAAAATCGGCCCCGGATTTAGAACATCCGTTTTTGAATGTAGTAAACCGGTTTTAGCGTCTACTAGATGATATCCTGTCTAATCCCGCCAGCCCTTTGGGGGAAGGTGGTCTAACGATCTCTTTTTCCCCCCTCCCCCTATGTACCCCCTTCCCTGGACCTGGACGGGGGGCCGCGAGGTGGCAGAGGGTCCCTTTCCTGTCAAGATGGCTCCAAGATGGCCTCAAAGAGCCCAAGATAGCCTCCAAGATTACTGAAGATAGCCCAACATGGCTCAGGAAAGCTAGCAATGCTTCCAAGAGGCCCAAGAGGGCCACAAGACGGTTCCAGGTGCTTTCAGCGCAAGCCAAAATCCTTCAAAAACCTTAGGAAAACCAGTGATTTGCGCCTTCTCGCCTTTTCGCTTCCGATGCGCTTTTGAGGCCTCAACATGGCCCCAAGATGGCCCAAGAAAGCTCCAAGAGGGACCCAAGAGGCCCCCAAGACAGCCCCAAGAGCGCCCAAGAGCGCCCCAAGAGGGCCCCAAGAGGCGATTTTGATGGCCCCGGAGGGGGGGCAAATCGAGGACACCCCCTCCTTTGATCGATGGTCTCCAAGACGGCCCCAAGAGCCGCCCCATAACTCCCAAGAGGGCTCCAAGAGAACGCCAAGAGAGCCCTAAAGAGCCCCAAGAGGGCCCCACGAGGGCCCTAAGATGCCCCAAAACCCAGAGAGTAATTGGTTCACCCTGGTTGCTCGCTTTGTTTCCCTAGATGTGTCTCTTCGTCCCTTTCCCCGCCAGCTCTCATGGGCAGGGCTTCTGAATTGGCTGGTGGGGATATTTTTTTTGTTTTTACAGCCGCGGGCGGAAGCGCCAGCGGCGGCGAGTAACGGTCGGGCTGCGGCCGAAACTAATTGGCCGGACGCGCGCGGGGCCGCGGCCGGCGCCGGGGCGGCGGGTGCAAGGGTGCTGCAACCCAGAGTGTCTGACGCCCAGGGACCTGCACCCAGGGAGTCCGTAACTACGCTGCCAAAATGGAGCGATGCAAATAACCCCAAGGTGTCTGAGGCCATGGCCAAGCAGTACGCCGCTTGGGCACACTATCTGAACAGTAGGGAGTCTGCAAACCTCGGCGCAGCGAATGGCGTACCATAGGGTCCCAGGGTGTCTGAACCATGCTCAAGCAGAAGCGTCCGAGAGACGCGCAAGCTGTCGCCTGACTGCATACCGTAGGGAGAGGTTGGACTCTGACAGCGCCAGCGACCCGTCGCAGCTTCAGAATACGCACCAACGCAGCCTAAATGGCGCGAAATTCGTGGTGTCTGTAACCGAACAAGGCACGTCAGGCCCGGGAAGACAACCTCGAACAGAGATGCGTTCGCAAGCGAGCCATCAGGTAACATGATGTGACGCTACGCGGAAGGTACAACTGCCCCAATCTTCTACCAGGTACAAGTCGCAGGCGACTAGCAACCAAAGATAAGAGCAGGAACGCGTACCAGGGAGCATCTAACGTGACAAGCATACACAGAGCCACGTCTATCCTTGGTACCCTGGCGTACCAGAGTAAAGTGTAAGAAGATGGCGCTCTGGGAAAGCTGTGCTGCCGCTTACCAGCTGCAGCCGAAGCAACAGCCAGTGGTCACGAAGAAGCCCAGGGAGCTAAGGGCCGCTCATCCAGGTAGAGCGGGGGAGCGACGATGGGATGATGCCAGTCCGGGCAACAGGAACTGGCGGCCAACAAAGGAAGCAGGCGTACGCACTGGCACAAGTATAGGCTCAGTCCGCTGACCACCCGCGGCAACACTGTGGCCGGTGCGCGCAAGTGGGTGCGCAACTGCGTCCCTGCGTACGGGCGCGGCAACAACGTGGCTGGTGGGGATTTGCGAAGCATGGAGAATTTCGTAAGCTGGTTTTAGCGTTCACTACATGATGTTCTGTCTTGTTTTGATTAGACGGCGCAATTGAATCAATCCGCTTCTCGCTTGAGTAAACCATAGTGCTTTCAATAGTTTGCTTTAAGAACGCGCGTTCATTCATTACTCGGGGGCGCGCAAACATGGATTAGCGATCCATGAATTTGGCGCGCGGTCGCCAAATCCATGGATCGGGGAAGGTGCCCTCCCCCAAAATGCGGCCGGTGCCGCCTCGCCCGTCGGCTGAAATCCGCGATTTCCCATGGAACCGGGACCTGTCGCTAATCCACGCCACCTTAATCTATGTTTGCGATCGCCTGATAAATCATAGTTTTTTCCAATAATTTGTAAGAACGCGCGTTCATTAAGTACCATGACCTATGTTAGCCGGTGATGCAAGTGCGAGGCGGAGATTTACCCATATCCACCGCCTGGGAACCGACGTCCTGGTGCCCCAGCCGGCGGTGGATATTGGATATGGATATATTTTGGCCCCGGGGGGCCCGAATATATCCATATCCACCGCCTGCCGAGGCCCCCGAAAACTGATCCTCTACACGGTGTGGTCACCACCCCGTTTGGGAGCCCCCGAGTCATGCACAAATCCCCGCCTCGAAGCGAGGCTCCCGTGAGTTGCCACCGGGTGCCGGAACAGGCCGCGGCGGCCCGCCGCCTGGCCGGGACCCCCGCCTGCTGCCGCGGCCTCCTCGCGGCGGTCCTCGTCTTAGGTCGGGCGTGCCCCCCTGCAGGCCGATGTTTCGGGGTCGCGCAAGCATGGATTAGCGATCCATGCATTTGGCGCACCTCCCCAAAATGCGGCCGGCGCCGCCTCGTCTGGCGGCGGGAGTCCGCGATTTCCCATGGAAACGGCACCCGTCGCTAATCCGCGCCCCCTTGATCCATGTTTGCGATCGCCTCAATTTTGGAGGGACATAAAAAATACACCAAACATATTCAAAAATACCCTCAAGAAATGCTCAAAAAAATCGCCCCGCACTATTTTTTGATTATTGTTGAAGATTCCCCCTGTAGGGGGCCACGCCCAACGGAATCCTTGTCCGTTCTGAGGTCTGCGAGGTACTGGGGGCAGGCGGGGAAGCAGCAGTGGTGCTTCAGGAGGCCCGTCGGCAGCAGCTCGAGCTGGTCCCCCGGGGGGCGGCCAGCGTTGAGCTCCTCGACCTCCGCCAGCGAGAAGAGCCTGGGCAGCCCCCTGGCAGGGGCATCACAGATGGTGTCCGAGCACGTGGGGCCGGAGGATCGCGCCGAATCGCCGAGGCAACGGCGATGCCGGCGATGCATCGGCGACGCCAGGGTGGCGAGAAGCAGCTCCACACTGGGCCGCATCGGCGATACGGCGCGATCCTCCGACCCCACCCGCTCGGACCTCATCTGGGAGGCCTAGACCTGTGCACGGCGCAGAACTCCAGGAGCCTCGCCCTCCGCTGGGCGCTGCGCGCGTCCTTCCGCCGCCCCGCCCTCTGGGCCGCCAGCTGCTCCACCAGCGCACGAGTGTGTGCCTAGGGGCCGGTGCCAAACCGTGCGGTGACCTCGGAATCCCCAACGACCTCTCCGCACGGTCCGTCCCTGCACGGTTCTGGACCCCTGGAGGCCCCAATCGACTGAGACGCCCTCGGAGGACGACCCGAGTCCCAAAACCGTACGGTCACCCCAGATCCCCACTGACTCACCAGACCAGCCCTCCTTCGAATGTTTGGACTCCAGGCCATAACTCAAGTCTCTGGCGGCCGTTCGCAACGATCTCACCCCCAGGGCCCAGGACGCTCTCGGCGAGGCGCAGCTGCTGGAACGCCGCCCGCGGCAGGGAAACCCCCATGCAACGAAAACGCCCGACAGCCCCGAATCCGTACTAGCTCGCTCACCACGCGGTGTGGTCACTGCACCGCTTGGGGGCCCCCGAGCGCCGCCCGCCGCTGCTCGCGCGCCAGCTCCCGGAGGATGCGCTCCGGCTGCGACAACGGCGTGACCCCGCCCGCGCGGTCCCGGGCGCTGTGGTAGCGCAGGCCCTGCGCGTACAGCGCGGCCTGCACCAGCGGCGGGTCCGTCCCGGGAAGGACGGCCTCGATGAAGGCCCTCATGGAGACCTCCGGCGGGGCGAGGACGAGGCAAGCTGGGGCGTTCGCGTCATACTTGACAGCCCACCCCTCCCGCCCAGACATTCCCACCCATTCCCAGCCCTGGAAGTCCCGAAAAAGACCCCATCATGCTTTGCGCAATCGGAAAAGGGGAGCTGCGTAAACGAGGGGGGGGGAGGAGGTGGAAGATGAGCATGAGCAGGAGTGAAAGGAGGAAGGATGACGAGGACGAATCCGCCGACCCCCGCTTGTCGGGGGAGAACGCGTGTGAGATGATTGGTTGTCCCTTTCTCCCCGTTCCCTCCCCCAGTGTCCAAAATCCCGTTTACAGGGCGGGGTATCGAGGCTCCTCGGCGCACCCCCAGAAACTCCTCCGGGGCTTCCAAATCGACCTTCCGCGGCCTCAAAGGCGTTCCAAGACGATCCCGAAACGCGGAACGATTAGCCCAAGACACCTACGATGGCTTCAAGACGCCCGAAGACGCCTTCGAGACGCCTCGAAAGCCTGCCCAAGAGGGCCCCGAGAGGCAAAAAGTCGCTGGTGTCCTTTGGTTTTTCATTGTTTCTGGAGTTATCGTCTTCTCGAGCTTCCGACGCTCCAAGACGGCCCAAGAGGCCCCGTAGACCCAAGAGAGGCGAAGACGGAGAACACGAGCCGAAAATCCCATCTCTCCGCCCCAAGAGGCCCCCGTAGCGGCCCAAAGGAGGCCCCCAAGAAGCCCTAAGAGGCCCCCGAGAGGCCCACAAGAGGACCCATGGCGGCCCCCAAGACGCTTCAAGACTGCCTCCAAGAGGCTCCGGCGGGCCCCAGAACGGCTCCCAAGACGCCCACAAGAATCCCCGCCAAGTGCCCAAGAAACCCACGACGCCTCAACCGTGGACTCTGCGCCTCTCCTGGGGCTCAGCGAAAATGCGCAGCCCCCGTGAACAGCAGCAGCGAGAAATGGGGGAGAAGGAGCGTGGGGAGCAGGAGGACCGGGGGAGGGCGGAGGAGGGGAAGGGAGGGGGTCGGCAAAAAGATGGGGAAGGACTCGGATCCAGAAAAGGGGTGCGATCTGGGGCGAAAGCGCAGTTCTGAACCACGGGGGCAGAGCGCCGATCCTGAAATGAGGCCAACGCTTCAGCGACGGCACTAATTCTGAGACGCCGAAAACGCCTCGATGAAACAGCTGGATCGGAACGGCCAACGTTTGAAATCCTGCGCGTGTGGGAGAAAGCAGTACGCGCAGGAGGCGTGCTACTCCCTGGCCATTTTCGGGAAGGAAGGAGAGGAGAGTGATCTTCATATTGAGGAATTGTCAACGCCTGGGAGGTTCGAAACGCGCGCTATGGCGACGTAAAAAAAAGAAAAACAAAGGAAAAATCAAATAACTGGAAAAAACAAAAATAAAAAAAAAAAAGCAACAAAAAAAAAATTGCGAACCCAAAAATAAAACCAAAAAAAAAGCAGAAAAAAAAAAAAAAAACAAACAACAATTGATAGTATAAAAAAAAAAAACAAAACATCATCATAAAAAAAAGAATAAACAAACAAAAAAAAAAAAAAAAAAAAGAACAAAATACAAAAAAAAAAAGTAAAAAACAAAAACTAAAAACACAAAAAAAAATAGAAAAAAAAACGAAAAAAAAAAATTTATAAAAAAATAAAAAAAACGAAGAAAAAAAATAAAGAAAAAAATAATAAAAAAACAAACGACAAAAAAAAACAAAAAAAAAACAAAAAAAGATAAGAAAAAAAGTAAAAAATAAATAAAAAAAAAAACAAGAAAAAAAAAATAAAAAAAAGTCAAAACAAAACAGGCACGCCCGATGAAGGGGCCAGTCGGCCAAAGCAGGAGCGAGCCCACGATGCAGCTGGACCTGCGCCGGAGGGAGCGAAACGAAGCCGGAGTGCGCCAGATTGGGCCCGTTTCCGACCACGGATATGCCAGCGCCGACGCCGGAGTTAACCTCCCAGGAGTTGAATCCTACAGTCAACCCGTATAGTAAGGATGCGCGATAAGGATACAAGGGCCTTGGACGCCGATTTCGAAGTTTCTCGAGCGGGGCGCGACCAACGAGAGTGGCCAAGGATGCACCGAGGAGGCAAGGATGCAAGGGTACCCTTGGGACGGTTGCCCATCCTTACTATGCGGGTTGATTGTATGCCAGCGCCAACGCCGAATCTAACCTCCCAGGAGTTGAATCCTACTTCTACCGGGGGCGCGCAAGCATGGATCGGGGGGGGCGCCCTCCCCAAAATGCGGCCGGTGCCGCCTCGCTCGGCGGCGGGAATCCACATTCTCGCATGGAAACAGGACCCGTCGCTAACCCACGCCACCATGATCCATGGATGCGATCGTCTGAGTTTGCGACTACGGTTATGCCAGCGCCGACGCCGAATTTAACCTTCCAGGATGTGAATCCTACTGATGGAAAGGGCCCTCGCCTCAGGTCGGGCGCCCCCTACAGGCGGATTTTGAACGGAAAAATAAAAGTACCAAAATAATGTACCAATAACGTCAATTTGTATAATATTCTACATGAAAAAAGACTACTGATTTATAGATATATCTATATATATATATGCATTCATTCATTGCTTCATTCATTCATTCATTCATTCATTCATTCATGCATGGCCTTCAAAATCATCATTGCGGGGACCCTCATTCATTTATTCATTCGTTCATTCATACTGCTTCAATCCCTCACTGAATCCACTTACACATGCCTGGACCGCAGAGCCGACACATCAGTCCGAAACCTTTGCGAAGTGCTTATACTCTGAACGGAGCACGAGCAGCTCCCCCTCGCGCCTAAGCCCACAAAAGGCCGGGCGGAAGCCAACGCAGGGGCATTGTTACAGTTGCTCTGCCCGCCGCGCCAATTCACGCATTAAAATCCTGTGACGAAGAGCCTCTAATCTGGTCATGTAGCCTGGGGGTTCAGACGGAAGCGCAGAGCGTGTCACACGACTGTCGCCAGCTCCCTGGGCTGGTGCGCCAGCCCTCCTGCGAGCGCCTTCCCTGGAAAAAAAATACGCCCCCTGCGATCCTCATCACGAGGATGTGGAGGAGGTCCAGGCTCACTTTGGTAAGTTTGTTGCTGGTGTCTATCGCGAACAGGTGGTGGTGCTTCCGGTTGGCCAGCTCGTTGTTATGTTCCTTGTTCTCCACGGGCCGATGGTCGCTCACGATGTGCATGCTCCTCGATAGTGGTGCTGCGTTGCCCTGCGTGCCGCAATCGCTGCACCTGCGCTTGCAACGCCACTCTAAGAGCCCGCCTGGTTCGTCCTCGTTCACGTCTGCCAGCAGCCCCTGCAGGATGTCCATTACCTCGTCGTTGTACTTCCCGTCCCCGTTGAGCGTTGCCAGCTGCTCTATTGACGCTTTGTGCGAGTGAAGGTGCGGCGGGCCGTAGGCGTGGCCCGACTCTGCAGATCCCATGCTTTGCACGTGCTTCTCCCCCGCCTGCTGCACGCCAGCTTCGATGCGATGGCCCGCGCGGCACTGATAGTGCGAGTCCTTGTCCCCCCTCTCTCGCTTCCCCGCCTCCACTTTGAGCTGCACCTTCCTCTCCGCGTCCGCATGGTTGCCCGTCTTGGACTTCTTCGAGCCGCCCATCTGCACCTGGTTCGCCGCCTCCGCCGCCGCCGAAGCCGCCAATGCCTCGCCCCCCCCCCCCCCCGCCCGACGCCTTCCCCACCATTCCAGTCACTTGGCCTTCTCGAAGCCACGCCGACATCAGGCGAGAGGTAGTGATCTGGATGGATGAGCTGCTCAAGATGATTCGATAAGCGATGCTGAGCAGCTTCTCTGTTCGCGAAAGTACTCCTACAAATCAAACAATAGTTGGAAAGCGTTGAAGCATACGGTACACTCCTAGCTCCGTGACCCTCCGCCTGAGACCTAACATAATGCATGACCATTGCTTGGTGTGACGGAAAAAAAAAACCTGCTCACACGCAGGACAGGGAAAGGCGCCTTCCCCTTCTGGATTCTCACAAGCGCCCGAGGCCCCACCCCCACCCGCCACGCCCGACCCACCAAGCCCAGGAGGGGGAAGCACCTCAATAGTGAGCTCCTTGGCTCTGAGCACAGACGGGTCGAGATTTAATTTTTTGTTTTTTTGTTCTCCCCCTACCTGGGCTCTGCCTAGAAGGGTTCTTAATCTCTCTAGCTTAACGGGGCCGGGCAGTGCTACGCGCCCCAGGCGGCCCCCCCAGCCCCCGCCCCGCGGTTCCCCCAGTCGCGCCCCCTGGGTTCACCCAGCTTCGCTTAGTTTCAGGTTAGCTTTAGCTTAGCTTTAGCTTAGTTTTAGCTTACTTTAGCTCAGCTTTAGCTTAGCTTTAGCTTAGCTTCAGCTTAGCTTTAACTTAGCTTTAGCGTAGCTTCAGCTTAGCTTCAGCTTAGCTCTAGCTTAGCTCTAGCTTAGCTTCAGCTTAGCTTTAGCCTAGCTTCAGCTTAGCTCTAGCTTAGCTTTAGCTTAGCTCTAGCGTAGCTTCAGCTTAGCTTTAGCTTAGCTTTAGCTTAGCCCTAGCTCAGCGTTAGCTTAGCTTCAGCTTAGCTCTAGCTTAGCTTCAGCTAAGCTCTGGCTTAGCTTTAGCTTAGCTTTAGTTTAGCTTTAGCTTACCTCTAGCTTAGATTTAGCTTAGCTTTAGCTTTAGCTTCAGCTTAGCTTCAGCTTAGTTTTAGCTTAGCTCTAGTTTAGCGTCAGCTTAGCTTCATATTCGCTTTAGCTTAGCGCTAGCTTAGCTTCAGCTTAGCTTCAACTTAGCTTCAGCTTAGCTTTAGCCTAGCTTCAGCTTAGCTCTAGCTTAGCTTTAGCTTAGCTCTAGCTTAGCGTTAGCTTAGTTTTAGCTTAGCTTCAGCTTAGCTTTAGCTTAGCTTTATCTTAGCTCTAGCTTTACCTTAGCTTTAGCTTAGCTTTAACTCCGCTTTAGCTTAGCTTTAGCTTAGCTTCAGTTTAGCTTTAGCTTAGCTGCATCGTAGCTTTAGCTTAGTTTTTTCTGTTATTACGAATGCTGC